TGGGGGTGGGCGGTGGGAGAGCGATGCCGTGGATAAATCCGTGTCAGAAAATGTCAAATATTGCTGGGAACAATGTGGATTGTTGGAAAACAGTGGATCAGCGTGCTCRAATCAGTCCTGATACATTTCAAACTCCGCCTGAGCTTCCTGGGGTGAGCAGTTCTCGAGATGAAGGTGCTTTTTGGGTGATAACTGCTGGCTTTGRTTCCCATTTTGCTGAGTGGCTGGAYGGGCTGTTTTGGAGGAATTTATGCAAAGTTGCTTTTAAGTCAAAACAAAGTTTCTTTTTGGTGATCTCTGCCCCCAGCAGGAATTCCCTGTGTCCTTCAGGAGGCTCGGTGACCTTGTGAGGATGTTCTGTGCTTAATTAAATGACTCTGACCTGGCAGAATTCAGGCATTTAATTAAGAAACTGTGGGATTTTCAAAGCAGTGAAACCCGCTGCTGGTGTSAGGGAACCCTCCTCCCCTYGTGAAGCTGTGGAGGAGCCTCCTGKGTTTTTAGGAAGGCTCTGTGCTGGTCCAGGAGGCTGAGAGGGAAGGAGGGATCCCGGGATTCCCGGTGGGACAGGGAGCAGCGAGGCCACATCGGGGTCACCGTCCCACCCCAAGTGCCTTTGGGAGCTGCCCGGGACCTTCCCRTCCCAATCCCATTAAAAATCACTTGGAACCACTTTGGGATTGTCAGGCTCTTGCAGAGACTCCCCAGAGAAGATTTGGGAAGCTCCCACTTCATCCCTTCCCTTGGCTCTGTCTGGTGTCCTGGAGCAGGACAGGACCCCAAACAGCRGGGTCTGGTGCCTCCCCACACCTTGTCCCTGCTTTTGGGGACTTGGGTGGCATTTAGGAACGATTCCCATCCTGCCCTGTGTGTGCAGGGCACAGGGCCCAGGGAATGGGGTTGTTTGCCTTCCCTGTGGAATCCTGCAGGAGCCTGGAATGTAACGGATGCAGCTTTGGAGAGGTGAAGTGGGAGATTTCCATTGCCTGGGCCTCAGAGGGGTTTGCAGATTCTGATATTTGAGCTGGATGAAGGTGCTTCGTTCATGCTCAGCAGAATTCTGTCCCTTGGCCTCTTGTCCCTTTTATCTTTTGGGATTGGGTTTTTTGGAACTCCGGTCACGAGCACACCATAAATGTGACTGTCACAGCCTTATGCTCCAATCCTAAATCCCTGTGCCCTTCCTAGATTGAAACAGATGATGAGCAGAGAGAAATGTGGGAATTTGAGCAAGATTCCCATCCTCCATCCCCTTCCATCCTGCCCCTATTCCCAGCTCCTTCCTGCTGAACAGGGAGCTTTGGRAATGTTGGTATTTGCAGAGAGCAATTAAATATTTGCCTTGAACTCAAATTCTGCACTTCCAGAGGTTGGAGCMAGGTGGGRACACASMCAGCTGGGATTTGGGGCTGYTCTGYTCCAAACTGGGAARTCAGGGAGGGAAAAAGGAAGGAGARAAGGATCCTGAGGGAATCCCAGCTCTGTGCACTCAGTTCATGGGAATTGTCTTTARAGCTGGACCTGGAAGCAGCAATCAGCACAACGTTGCCTCCTGACCTCGTTCAGAACCTGGGATTTTGTTTGGAATTTTTGTTTTCCTGGGAAGCAGGGAATTCTTGCTGCAGAATGTACATTAATCCTTGGGGAATGTCAGCGAGGGCGGAGCAGAATCCGGGAGATTGTGGATAAAGGAATCAAATCTTTCTGAGCCAATGCTGGGTCCTTGTTGGAGCCCCTGCACCCTCAAATCTGTCASCAGAGATAGGGAGGGTTCTTAAAGMGCTTCCCACGTGAATTCCAGCAAATCAATTTGGGATTCTGACAGATGAGAAACATCCCTTGGTTTGGGGGAGATCAGTCAATGTGGGATTCAGGGATTCCCAGTTTTGGGGAACTCAGTGTGATAAACTTGTTCTGGAGCAGGGACAGAAATGGGATGGAAAATGATGGAAAAAGGATGGAAAAGGATGGGAAATGAATGCAGAGTTCCAGCTTTCTCTCAGAGAAGTTCCCTTTGTAGCACGAGGGAAGTTCACCCCAAGCCCCAGGCACCATGATTGACGCCAGTGTGCGTTTGCTGCAGACTGCATTTACTGAATGTTTTAGGGAACACTCTTTCCTTTCAGCTAACTCCTGATTGGGTCTCTTAATCCTCACCAAACTTCACTTTTTCCCCCCTAAAAGATGTGTTTGGAACACCATTAACCAGGACAAAGCTAACAAAATTATCCAACCYGTTCCCTTTTTTTTGTTGTAGGGCTGAGGAAATTCGCAGCTGGGACTAAGATGTGTTGTCAGGGTTTGATTTTTCTACCCCTAACTCCATTATTTCAAATTAATTGTTCATTTCTCCCTTTTCAATAGCGAAAGGTAATGAATAATTTCAAGCCTGTTTATTTATGACATTACTGTGATTTTCTTTTTTTATTGCAGTACTAAAGACTAATGAAAAAAGGATCTTATTAGGTGGAAATAGGCCTTGCATTTATTTTTTTTTTTCCTGCAATGTATGAAGTATTGTACCAGAGTATTAAATGAAATGTAATATTTTATTGCAAAATTTCTATCCTTTAAAAGGAATACATTTAGGGTGTCATCGATTTGATGTGAATCATGTAAATGTTGAGAAATGAGCTGTTTATTCTACATCTGGTGTTTCGAAAAGATTTCACCTCTTGCCTTTTTGCCCACGTACAGTCTGTAGCCCATTTACAGTTGTCAAAATGTGACATTAAATAATAGTTCCTGTATAGAAATAGTGGTGGTTGTCCATTGTTTTCTGGGCTGGTATTTATGGGGTTTAATTCAGTTGCAGTGGGGTGGTTTTTTGTTGGATTTTTTTTTTTTTTTTTT